CACTGCACGGTGGCTTGGCTCGACTCTGCTCGCTTTTTGGGGGCTTTCCACTGTGGATGGTACCTGGTACTTGGTACTTTTTTAGTACCACCTCGGAGGTTCCAAGTGAACTGAGCCAATACTAAATGTGAGCCACGCACTGAGGGAGTAGGGAATTCTCCTTAGCGAGTGTTTCTGCATTGTGCCTGAATAAATGCGTCATTTAATACATATTTGCTTATGGTAATATTCTATTAATTGAAAATTATCTATCCTTTATCTCATTACAGATAAAACTACAACAAATGTTTCTGTCTTGGATTTTTACATCTCGCTCGTAACTGATTTCCAATCAGGCATTTATCGAAGTCACTCCTGTCACGGATGAATCTAACGTAGTCATATCGAGCACTATGTAGATTCTAGAACGCCGTTATTTTACATCCTTAATAGTGTCTGTGTTCAGTGAACAGGAAAGGCATTTTGAACACAGCTTGAGCATGTATTTATACAGGACTTCGATAATACAACATTATTCCAGCCTGAAGGCAAGTGGAAGATGGCGAACTGAGACAAACACACGCTCATGTGCTTCTCTCTGTGCTGTTTTCCTGTGTGAACATCGCTCAACTCGATTAACCCACTTGATATTTTTAAGTATATTTTTTCACTGTCGATTGCCATTTCCAGTTCCCGCTGCATTTCATCCTCGCCTTAAATACTCATTAAAGCCTGAACCTCCTCGTCGGTCCATCTGTCGTATTTTTTAAGGAATTCCATCGAGTTGCTTTTGAATTGCAATAAAAAAAACTGTTACTGTACGCACCGCAACAGACTTTTAAAAATGGTTGTTGGGGGAAAAAATGCTGCATGCACTCAACAATCAGCATGTTCAGCGCTCAAGTCTCACTCCCCAAAGGTCCTGAACTTTGAAAAAGTACCACCTCCCGAGTAGGGACTTTCTGAGGGGGAAATATTTTACCTGGAGCTCAATTTAGTCCCTACGGTGGAAACAAACCCAGTACCTCCAAAAGTCCCTGCGGTGGAACCGCAGCTTATGAGGGTCTATATCAGACATGTAGACCCAGCAAAGTATTTATCAGACTGAAACGAGTACTCGAAAAAAATTCTGTAGCAGGTCCGATAAACCTGCTTCAGTTTTCTAAACATGAACTGACTCAGAGTCTAGCAGATCCTTTGATGGGGCCAAACACTTGCATTTATGTAAATTATTTAGTTGCTCATCCAGAGACTAGTTGCAGCACTAGAAACATTAGCTTAGAAAGTGGCTTTGTTTAGAGATATAAACTACTGGAGTATACATAAGCATGCATTGAACATGAATTACTATGTCGATGTATGTGTATAAGATCTATTAAATCTTACATAGATCTATTAAAGTCTGTGACAATTTGACTTCACAAAATAAACTTGTGATTGTAGTCTATTGTAGTCTTTCATCCGTCATGGAAACTGTTATTGCTATGTTTATAATACATTTTGTCAATGTATTGGCAAAGAACAGAATGCCAAATAATATTTTTATTTATATATATATATATATATATATATATATAATCATATATATATATATCATATATATATTATGTATGTATGTGTGTGTATATATATATATATATATATATATATATATATATATATATATACACACACATATATATACACATATATACACACACACACACATACATACATGTATATATGTATGTATGTATACACACATACATATATATATATATATATATATATATATATATGTGTATATATATGTGTGTGTGTATATATATTATATATATATATATATATATATATATATATATATATATATATATATATATAAATAAAAATAATATGTATATATGTAAAAACATTTGTTTTATTTATGGCCATGGTTAAGCATAGAAAGGTAATCGTTGCTGCCATTCATTCGTGTGTAAGCAAGTGATTTTTACATGGCTGGACCTTTTTCTAAACGATAGTTGAATCCCCCTGATCTACATAATGCATTTCTGTTTAAAGGTGGAGGTTTTTAACCTGCTGTTTGTGACGAGTGAGAGTGGCAGTAAGAAGTTGTACGTGGTGCATTGTGAGGACTGTGCCAGGCAACGCAGCCCCAATTTCTCCAACGTAGTAGTGCTGGAACAATACCGTATGGAGGACCTGATGAACACCTATGACACCTTCAGCTTGGTGAGAACGCACATACGCAAACACACTTCATTTATAGCCTTTACGCTATATGCAAACAATCTGATACACTGAAGTTACACTGTATTAGAATTATACTGTAATGTACTACCATTTATTAACTTTATTTATCTATTTTGTTTTGTGTTTAGGCTTCCAGCTCCCGGTGAAATCAACTCTGCCATCCACCCCAGCCATAACCAAAAGTCTTGCTTACTAGGACAATTATTTTTTGTTTTAGTAAAATATTTAGTGGGTTTTTTTTCCCCTGCATTTATAATTTTTAAAATACTACTACTACTGCTAATACTTGTTGAACAGCCAATCATAAACCAGTTTACATCGTTGTTTACAAAACCAATAAGTCAACCTCTGACTGGTGTTAAGGGACTTTACAGCGGAATGCAGTTTGAGCTGTCACTTGTAATTAATGACAAAAATGGCATCTTGGATTTTCTGTACTTTCTTTGCGTTTTTATTACTTTTGGGTTCTCTTTCTGTCTTGAATACTGAAATGTGTAAATGCTGTTTATATTTTTCATGGGTGCTGTTTTTTTTTTCTTTTCTATTAATTTATTTTAAAATCTAGAACAACCTAGATGTATACCACATTGGCCTTGTGACTTGTATTTAGTGAAGATATAAATGAATAATACTAATAATAGATATATGAACATTTTTCTAAAGCATTAAGAATACAAAAAAATAACTTTGTTTGGAATGGTTCAAAATATACGGGTTTTAAAAAAAACTTTTTCAATTTTAGATACTGTCTGAGAAGCTTGTGTAGTTAATATCATGATTTTATTTCCTTAAAATACAATCCATTGTTACGAGAGCATTTTAAGATTACATCAGGTCATTTTCCATTATATATATTTTTTTTTGCGAGATTACAATTCGTTGTCGATTTTTAGTGAATTTTTTACCTTTTTTTTTTTTTTTGCTTAATAGATTTATTCACACTTTTTTTTTTTTTTTTTTTACAATTGTACATTTTATTTAACTTCTTTTCTATTTATTGATTATATTCTCCTTGTTTAGGTTCATCAGAGATGTCTGTTTTCCATTATTTGGAGAGTTTCAGAGGTGCTTAGTCAATAAAAGGAGTAATGTTTTCTGGCCTTTAAACTGTCCTCATGGGCTGCTGCATAACCCCATGAGGAGAGTCTGAGGGACTCCTCTGTCCTGTAGAGTGTAGAAGGCAGAGCAGTTGTAGTTTGTTCGAAGCTGTCTAGTGTATGGGGATGCAAAAGGCCCCTTTTTTTAAACCAACATTAGCAGCAGCATTGGAAATGCGAATAAATTCGGAGCTATTTCTAAGTATCTACATATTTCATGGTGCTTGAGTTTGTTTGAAATGTTTTATATGAGAGAACAGTCGCTATGCCAACCATGAGGCAGAATCTCTGGTTATACTAAATCTGACTGCAGTTGGTTATCATAAACCAAATATTGAGGGTTTTTAAGCATTTTTGTTTGTTTGAAAAATCACATGAAACTGTAAATACTGTGGCATTTTACTGGAATGAGGTTAAGTGTGAATCGAATTATTCATTCGACTGAAACTGTAATTTTTTTAATTTTGTCTTAAGCTTGAATCAGTTATTTCATGTATAATGAAACTGTTGGTTACGATTATGATACAGAAGGTGCTGTTCTCTTTGAACTACTGTCTTTCAGTTTTGTTTCTAAAGAAAAAAAAATCTATTTTCCCTGTTGCAATATATCTTCTGTTTTGTGGTCATTTATTTAAAATTCTGCACTGTTTTTGGAGCGTTCACACAGAAAGCAAACTGAGCCAGACACATCTTAAAACACTTCATGAATTTGTGTGACATTACTATGATTATTAATATTAAAAGCTTTTGATAAACTTTGACTGTAATTCATCTGTTAATTAAAGGACTCTCTTTCCTATTGCTTGCATTTAAAATTAGGGGAGAACGTGAACGCAGTCCCCCACTACCAGAAATGATGCAGTCTACATTGTCTACAGTTGTGCAAAGTCTATGGTGGCTTTAGACAATCACACCTTCTGATTGGTTGAGAGTCCACATTCACTGTATTGCTTGCATTTACTTTAAAAGAAAATATAAGAAATCCAAACCTGTGATCATTCAAAAGCTTTCAAATTAGAGCTTAGATTGCGTCTCATTAGTAACTCGGATAACGTGAGCAGATTCTGATTTATTTTTTAAAGCCGTCATCAACTAGAAAGACAGAGCATGGTGTCAAAACTATTAGGTTTTATATGTGATGTGGAGCATTCTATTTATATATTATTATTTTATGTGTACATAGATTCACTCTCGGCATTCAGATTAAATCCTAAAATAAATCTAAAGGCCTGCGTTGTTTTGCAGGTGATTGTGTAATGAGCAAAAAAAAGCCTGTAGATGATGCAATATACAATTATGTATGGTTATGATAGAATAATATAATATGGTATTGTTAGTGAAGAATTAAACAACTGGGTGAGAGTTAAAGTATGTCTCACAAACCCACTGAAAAGGTACTGCAAAGAATATTCCATATTCCAATAACTCCGGTGCCACATCAGAAAAAGACCTTCCTTCCAATGAAAGGTGAAATCGGGGAACAAGGAGAAGTTCGCACCCAGGAGATCAGAGTGAACAAGTGTGAATTTATGGAGAGAGTATCTCAGAATTGTAGGAAGAAGCAAGACTATGGAGTGAATTTGATATACAAAACAGGATGCGACAGGTAGCCAGTGAAGTTTATATAGAATGAGAGTGATATGTACAGATCATTTAGTGCAAGTTAGTAGAACCCAGCAAAGAAAGATAACTTGGTGGTGTTGGGATTTGAACTCGATCTTCTGATCAAAAGTCCAAAATCTTAACCACTGAGCTACTACCTCCATTTATCTTCAGCATAACAACATGTGGGATGCCACTGAGATATCTAGAGAACCTTAGAAACAAATGGAACAGCAAGGATAATTTGTGTAATACACCAAAAACTTCAAATTTCAAAGATGTCAGAAATCAGATCTCATGAACTTGAGATCAAAATATTGATATGAGAGTTTAGGATTTCAGCTTTTGGTATTTACAGTTGACTAGGCCAGTCCATAACCCTCCATTTCTTCTTTTTGAGCCATTCATTGGTGGATCTCCTAAGTGTGCTTAGGATCATTATCCTGTTGGCCTGGACTTTGCCTATATGCTTATTGGCAAACTATAGTCTTGCAAAGGCTTTTTCCTGGCACACCTCCCATGCAGGTAAATCTCTTTCGTAACTGCACCAACACCTGCAAGACTTACTAGCAGATCCTGTGATGAAATTGTGGGGTTCTTGGAGACGTCACATCAGATGGTCTGCTCTTGGGCTGAATTTGCTGGGATGGCCAGTCCTGGACAAATTGGCAGTAGTTTGAAATCTGCACCATTTATAGATTATTTTCCCTACAGAGGAATGGTGTATTTCAATTTAATTTGGAGATCTTTTTAAATTCCTTTGCTAGACCCATAGGCATCCACAACCTTCTTTCTGAAGGCCTTACAAAACTCTTTAGATTTTGGCATGATGACAACACACGCCTCAATGACAAAGGGAACACTAGACACTAGATACAGTGCATCTGGAAAGTATTTTTCCCACATTTTATGTTACAGCCTTATTCCAAAATGGATTAAATTCATTATTTTCATCAAAATTCTACAAACAATACCCCATAATAACATGACAGAAGTTTGTTTGAAATCTTACAAATTTATTAAAAATAAAAAAAACAAAAAAAGCACACGTACGTAAGTATTCACAGCCTTTGCTCAATACTTTGTTGAAGCACCTTTGGCACCAATTACAGCCTCAAGTCTTTTTGAGAATGATGCTACAAGCTTGGCACAACTATTTTTAGGATTTCTCAAGCTCCATCAGGTTGGATGGGGAGCACCTTGTACAGCCATTTTCAGATCTCTCCAGAGATGTTTTGTAACTTGACCAAAAAAATTAACATTTTGTAGAGTGTATCAACTTTATTAATAGTAATTGTTTCAAAGAGGATCAAATGATTTCTCGTGCAAATATGGCCAAAAAAAGTCAACAATTTCCATAGAGTGTACTTGTTCCCCCCCATTACTGTGTGTAAAAAAAAAAATTACATTCGTATCCTCATCCAAGACCACGCTCTTAAAACTAGCCTGGACATGTCAATTTAATAAACCGTAATACTAAAAGTTGTCTCCTAAAAACAACGTTTGCAAACACAAGCATTTAGTAAATCAAAACAGTTTAGTCATATACAAAAAAGCTTGTAAATGCCGCCACCTTCTGGAATAATGATACAACTTACATAAAAACAAATGTACTGTTTTCTTTTATTTGAACAGTAAACTGAGGGGAGAGCGCGAACGCAGTCCCCCACTACCACAAATTCTGCAGTCGAGATTCCCACATTTGGGGAATTCGCAGGGGTCAGCACAACCGGAGTGCAATGGCTGAGCCTCGCCCTGGGTGAACCACCTTCTTGATCATGGTATCTCCCCTGCCAGGTAAGTATGAGTTCAACACGGACTGCGGAGCGCCGCTACAACCACACACACTCTTTACCATCATGGTGAGTGACATTTACTCACTCATTACACACACACACACACACACACACACACAATCTACACACTGCAGATAATGAATAGTGCGTCTCTTAGCGATCTGCTCGTTTATTTCACAATAAATCTACAGAATGAAATCTCCCATGATGCACTGCTCCTGAATGTGTCATGAGAGCTACGCTACCCCGGAAGTAGTTTCTTAGTATTTTCTCAGTTGAGTGTTTGAGTCGATCCAGGAGAAGAGACGCGTTTCTACACAGGACAGAGAGTCTGATCCTTCACTGGGTTTTCTCACCAATACATTCGATATCGACATAAAATAAAAAACCGACCACTTCCGGAAACGACACAAGGACAGCTCGCGCTGCATCCTTAACGTCACGCGCGTGTTTATTTATTCACTTTTTAAAAATAAATTCATGTTGAAGCAGTTTTAGAAGCTAATTCTATTGACAGCGAGTTTAAGAAGAAAATACTATAAACTGATGTTAATGTTAAAAAGGCGGTTTTATTGAAGTTCACACTACACAGATACGGACATGAAGCAGTTGATCTGATCTCAGTGTACTAACACTAAACACTCCTCTCTACAATAACACACATCCACCGCTTAATAGTCTTTCCTTCACTGTATAAAGGGGGTGCACCGTTCCCGGAAGTACTGCAATACCGGGTCGATGCGTGGAGTGGACGGAGCAAGCCCCTATTCCATCTCCCTGTTCCAAAAATCAATTTAATATATGGTCCCCGGGTAGGGGACGTATCAGATATTAAACTGATAAGAACAGATACTACACTTGATCTTAGCCAAAAGGCCGAGAAGCGATACCTGAGCTGATGAACCACGAGGAGGGACATCCTTCACTACACAACACACAAGAACTACACATACTGCTTTATTCACTAAATAGTTAACAAAATATATAACCCGCACTGTTACAGTGTAATAACTCAATAAACCCTCAAGGAACTGCAACAGAAAAGCTCACAGATGAAATGAACAGTTTTGAAGTGTGTGCCGCGCAAAAAGAGGAGGAGGAAATGCTAATGAGTTCAGAAACTGACCAATCACAAGGATACAATCTCGTCTGCACTACAAAAGAAAATTAAGCCAATTTCTAAATAAACGCAATGTATTTAAAATGTGTTTTAAACTGGATACAAACTACAGTCAACAGTCAACGTTAAATAGAAGATGAATCTGTCGTTTGGGATTAAAATAATGAATAACAAATTGACTCTCGGTGGCCCAATGTGGTACTGCAGGTTGCAGTGACATCCATTTGAAATGTGAGGAGAGCACAAACGCCTCATTTCGACTTCCCAAACAGGGATCAGCACCCTGGGGTGCCATCTGATGAGAGCAGGGGTGCCGTGTAAAAATCCTTCAAACATTTCTAAAATACCAAAATGTATATAAAACTTTTAATATATATAATAAATACCTAATGTATAATAACACAGATAGAAATAATATGACGGACACACACGCATAATAATAATAATAATAATAATAATAATAATAATAATAATAAATTATATATTTAAAATAATAATACCCTCCCTCGCTGACCTGTCAGCAGCACGTCAATATCAGTATGCGTAACATATGCGGGTGTTTTATCCTAATAATTAGCCCGTGACGATGCGTGTGTAGTGCAAAAGAATATGGACAGATTTCTTAAAAGAAAAGCTCAAGATTCTTCTGGAGAATCAACTTCATCCTCATGTAGCTAACGCTGTCTAGCATTAGTGTTTGTTTAGGGTGCCACAGAAGTTCGAAAAATTTCAAAGGGTGTAGTGACTGAAAAAAGGTTGGGAAACTGCTCCATTTAACCCTGTTTTCTGAAACAGATCTTGTGGCTGTATTCGGTATGTAACTCAGTTCTTTATATGAGTGAACATACAGGTACAAAACTAAACCCTAACCTTGCTTTAACTTGACGTGAACATCCTGACGTGCCGATTACCTTATGTTTCTCATAAGAGCTTATTAATTACTTATTAGTGATTGATTAATTAGTTATTATCCATCAAGTGAATATATAATTATAGTTAATCCATTTTACACTTCGACCAGTAGATGGCGAGAGAGTGCTCTGATAGTTATATTTTTTAGCAGCAGATCCCTCTAATGACTGATTTTAACCTCCCTAAACAATGAGCCTAAACAAAGTAAATATTTACATTTACATTCATTCATTTAGCAGATGCTTTTATCCAACGCGGCTTACAAATGATGAAATACAAGCAAAGCGATAGATCAAGCGGAGAATATAGAAAATATCTATGAAATGTAATTAATATGTATAACTAACTTTTGGATATGTTAATAAAGTGTACTCAATATATAATCTACATTTAGAATTACTACTTAAAGCATAATCGAATAATCTGTATGGGTTAAAAAGCAGAATCTATATGTATAATCAATAGTTAGAAGCATAATCTAAATCCATAGAACAATGTTTGATCAAGTTATATTCTGAGTGTGGACCGAGTTAGAAGAAATCCGTGTCTAATCTAAAACTACAAAACACTTCCAACAGGCGGTATTCTAAGTGGGTAAATTAGGTGCTTTGTGTTTGTCTAAAGCAAATTCACTCTATGGTAGTAAATTGAGAACTTGTGTTTGTCTAAACACAGCTTCACTTTGTGGCAATAAACTAGACACACTCCCGAACTGGGTTTCTGAACTAAGCACCCTAAGCTTACAAATCAGTGACAAAAAAAGTGACAAGAGTTCAAGGGAAAAAGTACCAAGATGAGGCTATAGGGTGAAATACTTGACATCATTAAAAAAAAACCCAGGTCTGGTAAAACTTTTAAAGAACATACAACTGATAAGGTATCCTATGGATGTGAATAATTAGTTAAGGCAATGGAGAATGGTCTGTTCTAGAAAGAAAAGTTGAAGGTCACACATAGGGATAATTTTACTGCGTCAGGGAAGTATATAGACATGCTTGTGCATGTACAATTCGGACTCTCTGCAGACAGTCACACTTTGTTGGTTTTCAATAAAGTTTATTTACTTTTTGACATCTAACTCTCTGTCTCTGAAGTTTTTGACATAGGCTAAAAAGGTTGATTTTATTCACAACACATACAAGTGCTACCATGAAAGATTTATAATTGAGTTCTAGAGAAGCAAAGTGCACAGAGTAGAGGTGTAAGAGCCAGAGTAATGTTTTTATATACACATTATAAATAACGTGGGACTGGCATTTTAGGTTTAGTTAGGTGTTCATGGAAGAGGTGGGTCTTTACCTGTTTTTTGAAGCTAGTGACAGATTCTGCAATCT